GCTGAGCGGACAGAACACTGGACGCGTGATCCTGTGGTCCCGGGTTCGATCCCGGGTGCCGGCGAGAAACGATGGGCAGAGTTTCTTTCACCCTGATGCCCCTGTTACCTCGCAGTAAATAGGTACCTGGGAGTTAGTCAGCTGTCACGGGCTGCTTCCTGGGGGTGGAGGCCTGGTCGAGGACCGGGCCGCGGGGACACTAAAAGCCCCGAAATCATCTCAAGATATTCTCAAGAAGATATCCAGGTATGAAGCAGTTATGAAACAGTTATAAAGCAGGTATGAAGCAGTTATGAAGCAGTTATGAAGCAGTTATGAAGCAGGTATGAAGCAGGTATGAAGCAGTTATGAAGCAGGTATGAAGCAGGTATGCAGCAGTTATGAAGCATGTATCAAGCAGAACTAGGTAATATTAGGGGTAGGTAAATTCTTAAGGAAGGATCCGTGTCTGGGTAGTGCTAATTTAAAAGTGTCCGCCAAACTCCTTGATTATGAATGAAAGACAGTTTCCACACGAGTCACAACTGATGACGTTCGAATATTTCTCGAACAGTGTTTCGTTGATGACCTCTGTTCGAATTGCAACGATGTAAATGCTTCGCTCACGTACAATACAAATGTTTGCCAACAGCACCTATAAATACCAAACGCAACATACGCCTAATCTAACTATATATCAAATTTATATATATATATATATATATATATATATATATATATATATATATATATATATATATATATATATATATATATATATATATATATATATATATAATAATTTACGAGAACTTATTTCTTTATATATAGTGGGGGGGGGGTATATAGAACCCTCCCCCCGGGATGCAACCCCACAACAGTTGCCTACCTCTCGGGTACATATTGACTGCTAGGTGAACAGATGCATCAGGTGAGAGGAAACATATACAACCCGTTTCTGTCCTGTCCGGGGATTAAACCCGGGGACCCCCCTATGTTCTGAGTCGAGAACGTAGTCCACTGCGCTACCGGACCCCATCTCCCTTTGATGATGGAGAGTTACTATGACAATTACCATGCTGTCTGGTGTCGTTCCGTAGTGAATGACACTACAGGTGGTGTGTGACAGGTGTCATATGGGCACATGACACCCATGTTGAGCCCTGAGAGGCAGCTGACAGGTGTCATATGAGCACATGACACCCATGTTGAGCCCTGAGAGCCAGCTGACAGGTGTCATATGGGCACATGACACCCATGTTGAGCCCTGAGAGCCAGCTGACACGTGTCATATGAGCACATGACACCCATGCTGAGCCCTGAGAGCCAGCTGACACGTGTCATATGAGCACATGACACCCATGCTGAGCCCTGAGAGCCAGCTGACACGTGCCATATGAGCACATGACACCCATGCTGAGCCCTGAGAGCCAGCTGACACGTGTCATATGAGCACATGACACCTATGTTGAGCCCTGAGAGGCAGCTGACAAGTGTCATATGAGCACATGACACTGGCTTAAACAAATTGCTAGTCACAATTTCTATTCTCAACAAATTATAAACTAAACAGAATAACTATTATATTCACAACCATCGCCATAATCTACAACAAATCTACCAATATAATTATTGATTACACATAAAAAATACAAAAGCATTTTTATTAATACAAATGTTTTTGATACGATGTGAACACCTGTGGAGGCACCTCTGTGACTCACGCGTGTCCGCGCGCCCTCGCGAACGTCAGCACAAACTTTCCCAATATTTGTCAAAAGTTTAGGTTAATATATGGTGGCCAGGCGCCCGGTGGGGGGGGGGCTTACTCTGACGCCACCAGCTGCTGTTGTTGTTGTTGATTGTGACGCAGAGTGGTGGTTGTTGGTCTGGGTTGTGACGCAGAGTAGCAGCTGTTCTTGGTTGTGAAGCAGAGCAGCAGCTGCTGTTCTTGGTTGTGAAGCAGAACAGCAGCTGCTGTTCTTGGTTGTGAAGCACAGCAGCAGCTGCTGTTCTTGGTTGTGAAGCAGAGCAGCAGCTGCTGTTCTTGGTTGTGAAGCAGAACAGCAGCAGATTTTTTTTGCAGGTATATTCCTGCGCGGGCCCTAAGCCTCTGGCTGGCCCACTGCGCGGGCCCTAAGCCTCTGGCTGGCCCACTAAGTGTTGCTTGTTTCTGTTTTACTTGGGCGGAGTATGAGTATTTATGACTCGTATGGTCGCTTCGGTAAGATTTTGTCCCACGTGTTTAACAACTTCTGTTCTGTTGAATCTAAGTTGAAATCTTAATGAGTTTGTAACTGTGCACTGTGTTAGATAATGTTCCAGTGGTCTGTCGGGCATTTCTCCACAGTGTTGACATTTCCTCTCATCTTCCGGAACCTGTAAGCCTATTTCCCATGCACATGGATATCCAAGCCTGATGCGATGTAAGTGTACTTCTGTTGCTCTACTGCTCCCTTTCATCAAACTAAGTGGTTCGTAGTTGGTTGAATTCTTGTACCAACCCGCAGATCCTGATGTTGCAACTGCTGTGTTGTGGTCACTGTACATCACCTGCATTGCTCTGTTTCTAATTACATTCTTAATCTGTGATTAAGACTCTGTGGTATGTAAATGTCTACATTTCTTCTCTTAGTAGCAAGTTTTGCAGCTTCGTCTGCAATGTCATTTCCTATTATTCCCACATGACTTGGCACCCAGTTGATAAGTACCCGACGGCCTTGTCATTTGAGTGTTTGCATTAATGATATGACATTTGCGATCAGCAGCTGTTGGTTATTACGCCGACGAGCAACAGCTGCTTTTTGCTTCGAACCCCGTCCACCAAACATGAACGTTCACGGGTGAATATACCACAGCCTGGTGCCGTTAACCTCGTCCAAACAGCAGTTAATCCAACAAACGGTGCAGCTTGGGCCCCCATTCCCTAATGAATGAAAAACAGCTTTGCACACGACTCGGAACTGATGACGTTCGAACTTTTCTCGAAAAAGTACTTCGCTCATTTCCTACGTTCGAAACGCGTCTAAAAACGTCACCCCGCCCTTCAAATACAAATAAACTGCCAACAGAACCTAAGTTAGCCATAACTATGCATACAATTATAATATTTAATAATTTGGAAAATATCTGATATCTGGGGTGCTGACAGCTGTGGGTCTGATATCTGGGGTGCTGATAGCTGTGGGTCTGATATCTGGGGTGCTGACAGCCTGGGGAACAGACAGCTGGGGGTCCAGACAGCCTGGGGTCCTAACAGCCTGGGGTCCTAACAGCCTGGGGTCCTAACAGCCTGGGGTCCTAACAACCTGGGGTCCTAACAACCTGGGGTCCAGACAGCCTGGGGTCCAGACAGCCTGGGGTCGTAACTACCCTGGCACACCACCAACTTCCTGCTCTCCGCTCCACCTTTCCCGATGGAAAAACTTTTAAAACAAATAATAAAAAAATTGGAAAGTGAAAATGCCAAAAATAAAGAATGTTACCGATTTTGGAGTCAACCGAAGCGCACGGAATATTAATAGAAGCCAAACAGAAGCCCGGGAAGAATGCTGAAGAGCTTCAAGAAGCCTCATCAATTAGAATTTGGAACGATGTGCGAGGAATGTGTAATGGAAACCAAACAGGGAATTTGTCCCCCCTGACCGTTTTGCATTCCACACTTCAAAAGCCTAGGAGAATGGCTCTCATAATTCGTCACGAAAGAACTCCAGTATGAGCTAAAGCTTTCCTTTCATGGTAACCTGGGGCCAGATTCACGAAGCAGGTACGCAAGTACTTACGAACGTGTCCATCTTTCCTCAATCTTTGACGGCTTTGGTTACATTTATTAAACAGTTTACAAGTATGAAAACTTGCCAATCAACTGTTGTTATTGTTATAAACAGCCTCCTGGTGCTTCGGAGCTCATTAACTGTTTAATAATTGTAAACAAAGCCGCCAAAGATTGAGAAAAGATGGACAGGTTCGCAAGTGTTTGCGTAACTGCTTCGCGAATCTGGCCCCAGCTTACCATCACTTCCATGAGTTATCTTGAGGTTATCATGAGATGATTTCGGGGCTTTTAGTGTCCCCGCGGCCCGGTCCTCGACCAGGCCTCCACCCTCAGGAAGCAGCCCGTGACAGCTGACTAACACCCAGGTACCTATTTACTGCTAGGTAACAGGGGCATAGGGTAAAAGAAACTCCGCCCATTGTTTCTCGCCGGTGCCCGGGATCGAACCCGGAACCACACGATGACAAGTCCAGCGTGCTGTCCGCTCGGCCGACCGGCTCCCCGAGCCGACAGTTATTTCTGTCATTTAACTACTCTAAATTCTAGTCGTACAGTCGGCTTCGTTATCGACTCACAATCGGCAATCGAGGGATCGATTCCCGAACGAGACAGAAATGGTTGCGCATCTTTCCTTTTACCTAATGTCTGTGTACACCTAGCAGTAAATAGGTACCCGGGAGTGAGGTGTGACTCGTGTCAGGTTATATATCTTCAGTAAGGTCAATAGTGTGTGTGTGTGTGTGTGTGTGTGTGTGTGTGTGTGTGTGTGTGTGTGTGTGTGTGTGTGTGTGTGTGTGTGTGCGCGCGCGTGCGTGCGTGCGTGTGTGCGATGTGCGTGCGTGCGTGCGTGCGCGTGCGCGCGCGAGCAAGCTACAAGCTTGTGTGATATCAAAGCAAATTTACAACACAAAATTCCTCACCCTGAAGGATTCGAACCCAGACAGCCAGAGGGCCTCCGTGCACCTCGGCGTGTCCAGTACTTTCACCACTAGGCCACACTGACTGTACAAAAGAATTGGAATCCGTCTGACCCTTAACCCAATTTCCGACAGCACTCGGCGACCATTTTGGGCCCAGATATGTCATCAAATCACTACATCACACTTTTTGTGTTGACACTCAATTGACAGTTAAGAGTCGGGAACAAAGAGCCACAGCTCAACTAGGTACCCCTACTGTTAATGGTACCCCAAGAGATTCTCTGGCATGCTTAGCAAGGTCATTGGTGGGGTGTGAGGGTCGTTACCTTGTATAGAGGCGAAGGAGTCCCACTCAAGCTCTGGAAAGAGAGAATAACTGAGTGAGTTACAAGCTACAGGATAGTGAGGATAATTACCATTTTACATAACAAGACTCGTGGACGTACCAGAAACTACAGCTCATTTCAGAACTACGAAACAGGAGGCCAGACATAAGATACAGAATAGGAGATGAAGTACTTAATGAAACGGAGAGAGAGAAAGATCTAGGAATTGATATCACACAAAACCTGTCTCCTGAAGCCCACATAAAAAAGAATTACGTCTGCGGCATATGCAAGGCTGGCTAACATCAGAACAGCCTTCAGGAACCTGTGTAAGGAATCGTTTAGAATCTTGTACACCACATACGTAAGACCAATCCTGGAGTATGCGGCCACAGCAAGGAGCCCGTACCTGGTCAAGTACAAGACGAAGCTAGAAAAAGTTTAGAGGTATGCCACTAGACTAGTCCCAGAACTAAGAGGCATGAGTTACGAGGAAAGACTGCGGGAAATGCACCTCACGACACTGGAAGACAGAAGATTGAGGGGAGACATGATCACTACCTACAAAATCCTCAGGGGAATTGACAGGGTAAACAAGGATAAATTATTCAACACTGGCGGTACACGAGCAAGGGGACACAGGTGGAAAGACAGAAGATTGAGGGGAGACATGATCACTACCTACAAAATCCTCAGGGGAATTGACAGGGTAAACAAGGATAAATTATTCAACACTGGCGGTACACGAGCAAGGGGACACAGGTGGAAACTAAGTACCCAAATGAGCCACAGAGACGTTAGAAAGAACTTCATCAGTATCAGAGTAGTTAACAGATGGAATGCATTAGGCAGTGATGTGGTGGAGGCTGACTCCATACACAGTTTCAAGTGTAGATATGATAGAGCCCAGTAGGCTCAGGAATCTGTACACCAGTTGATTGACAGATGAGAGGCGGGACCAAAGAGCCAGAGCTCAACCCTCGCAAGCACAATTAGGTGAGCATACACACATACTATCTGTTTGAGGACTATCAAATACGTTATTTATTCATGTTCCTTTCACTGTTGCTGTGATGTCTTATCCACAGCTTCTCGCTCTCCTGTTGCCTCCAGATGGTGCTTATAGGGCCGTGAGGCAGCGCTCTCACCCGCTCCCTCCTAGAGAGGAGTCAAACTGGCATTTCGTGTCTTTCACCGCGATATATATACAATAGTGTTTCGTACGTCAGACTGGGTGAGCAGCGGCGCCAAACAGTCTGGTGGACCCGACCACCAACCAGGGCTGGTTAGAGACAGGGCAAAGAGGTCATTGATCCTCGTAAACACTTCCGGGGTAAGGAATGGCGTTAGGTTATGTGGCTGTGTTACTCCTAGTGTTGAGAAGCACCAAGATGGTAGTGGTAGCAACACTGAGGAGTGTTGGTGGTAGTGGTGGTAGCAAGAATGAGTGGTGGTGGTGATGGTGGTAGCAAGAATGAGTGGTGGTGGTGATGGTGGTAGCAAGAATGAGTGGTGGTGGTGATGGTGGTAGCAAGAATGAGTGGTGGTGGTGATGGTGGTAGCAAGAATGAGTGGTGGTGGAAGGAGCAGCAACAATCAGAGGGAACAATCAAGAGGGAGGGAGGGAGGGAGGGGCTGGAGATGAGGAGGCAGCATCCCGGTCACGTCCAGCCTCTGATGAGGAGACGATCCAGTGAACGCCGCCACCAGCACCTTCCTTCCTTCACGTCTGGCTAGTTCTCTATCTCTGTGTGTACCTCATGAAGCCCTCTGTATGTACCCCATGAAGCCCTCTGTGTGTACCTCATGAAGCCCTCTGTGTGTACCTCATGAAGCCCTCTGTGTGTACCTCATGAAGCCCTCTGTGTGTACCTCGTGAAGCCCTCTGTGTGTACCTCGTGAAGCCCTCTGTGTGTACCCTCATGAAGCCCTCTGTGTGTACCTCATGAAGCCCTCTGTGTGTACCTCTGCTCCTCTCATTACTCTCATTGATTGTATCAACCTGCATTACTTACTAAATTTAATTAGGCATCATAGCTTGTTGAACTATTATTAAACTCGTGTGTGTGTGTGTGTGTGTGTGTGTGTGTGTGTGTGTGTGTGTGTGTGTGTGTGTGTGTGTGTGTGTGTGCACGCGAGCGCACGCGTGCGTGCACCAATTTTCTCTATATATCGTTGGTTCCTATTTACTTCTGTAGAGCTTAAAAATTAATTCTCAAAAGTATATTTTACACTTTTAATGACGCGTTTCGCTAAGGCACAACTTAGCATCCTCAGAGGCAGAGGAAGGTCGAATATTGGACAAACACTATTTTGTATATACGCACCCACATATATATATATTATATACATATGTGGGTGTGTTGAAAAAAATGACTGCCCTCTTGAAACGAGCGTGTAACCTGCTCCTACATTCTCATTGGTCAGTTGGGACTGTAGTTGGCTTTTGATAATTGACTAAGTGTTTGATGTGAAGTGCTTGTGCTATGTGTATTGTGCA